GCTCCATTCTCTCTACATGTCCGAATCACCTCAACAACCCTTCCTCAGCCCTCTGGACAACAGTTTTGGTAATCCCACACCTCCTCCTAACTTCCAAACTACAAATTCTCTGCATTATATTCACACTACACATTGCCCTCAGACATGACATCTCCACTGCCTCCAGCCTTCTCCTCGCTGCAACATTCATCACCCATGCTTCACACCCATATAAGAGCGTTGGTAAAACTATACTCTAATACATTCCCTTCTTTGCCTCCAAGGACAAAGTTCTTGGTCTCCACAGACTCCTAAGTGCACCACTCACCCTTTTCCCCTCATCAATTCTATGATTCACCTCATCTTTCATAGACCCATCCGCTGACACGTCCACTCCCAAATATCTGAATACATTCACCTCCTCCATACTCTCTCCCTCCAATCTGATATCCAATCTTTCATCACCTAATCTTTTTGTTATCCTCATAACCTTACTCTTTCCTGTATTCACTTTTAATTTTCTTCTTTTGCACACCCTACTAAATTCATCCACCAATCTCTGCAACTTCTCTTCAGAATCTCCCAAGAGCAAAGTGTCATCAGCAAAGAGCAACTGTGACAACTCCCACTTTATGTGTGATTCTTTATCTTTTAACTCACACCTCTTGCCAAGACCCTCGCATTTACTTCTCTTACAACCCCATCTATAAATATATTAAACAACCACGGTGACATCACACATCCTTGTCTAAGGCCTACTTTTACTGGGAAATAATTTCCCTCTTTCCTACATACTCTAACTTGAGCCTCACTATCCTCATAAAAACTCTTCACTGCTTTCAGTAACCTACCTCCTACACCATACACCTGCAACATCTGCCACATTGCCCCCCTGTTCACCCTGTCATACGCTTTTTCCAAATCCATAAATGCCACGAAGACCTCTTTAGCCTTATCTAAATACTGTTCACTTATATGTTTCACTGTAAACACCTGGTCCACACATCCCCTACCTTTCCTAAAGCCTCCTTGTTCATCTGCTATCCTATTCTCCGTCTTACTCTTAATTCTTTCAATAATAACTCTACCATACACTTTACCAGGTATACTCAACAGACTTATCCCCCTATAATTTTTGCACTCTCTTTTGTCCCCTTTGCCTTTATACAAAGGAACTATGCATGCTCTCTGCCAATTCCTAGGTATCTTACCATCTTCCATACATTTATTAAATAATTGCACCAACCACTCCAAAACTATATCCCCACCTGCTTTTAACATTTCTATCTTTATCCCATCAATCCCAGCTGCCTTACCCCCTTTCATTTTACCTACTGCCTCACGAACTTCCCCCACACTCACAACTGGCTCTTCCTCACTCCTACAAGATGTTATTCCTCCTTGCCCTATACACGAAATCACAGCTTCGCTATCTTCATCAACATTTAACAATTCCTCAAAATATTCCCTCCATCTTCCCAATACCTCTAACTCTCCATTTAATAACTCTCCTCTCCTATTTTTAACTGACAAATCCATTTGTTCTCTAGGCTTCCTTAACTTGTTAATCTCACTCCAAAACTTTTTCTTATTTTCAACAAAATTTGTTGATAACATCTCACCCACTCTCTCATTTGCTCTCTTTTTACATTGCTTCACCACTCTCTTAACCTCTCTCTTTTTCTTCATATACTCTTCCCTCCTTGCATCACTTCTACTTTGTAAAAACTTCTCATATGCTATCTTTTTCTCCCTTACTACTCTCTTTACATCATCATTCCACCAATCGCTCCTCTTCCCTCCTGCACCCACTTTCCTGTAACCACAAACTTCTGCTGAACACTCTAACACTACATTTTTAAACCTACCCCATACCTCTTCGACCCCATTTCCTATGCTCTCATTAGCCCATCTATCCTCCAATAGCTGTTTATATCTTACCCTAACTGCCTCCTCTTTTAGTTTATAAACCTTCACCTCTCTCTTCCCTGATGCTTCTATTCTCCTTGTATCCCATCTACCTTTTACTCTCAGTGTAGCTACAACTAGAAAGTGATCTGATAAATCTGTGGCCCCTCTATGAACATGTACATCCTGAAGTCTACTCAACAGTCTTTTATCTACCAATACATAATCCAACAAACTACTGTCATTTCGCCCTACATCATATCTTGTTTACTTATTTATCCTCTTTTTCTTAAAATATGTATTACCTATAACTAAACCCCTTTCTATACAAAGTTCAAAGGGCTCCCATTATCATTTACACCTGGCACCCCAAACTTACCTACCACACCCTCTCTAAAAGTTTCTCCTACTTTAGCATTCAGATCCCCTACCACAATGACTCTCTCACTTGGTTCAAAGGCTCCTATACATTCACTTAACATCTCCCAAAATCCCTCTCTCTCCTCTACATTCCTCTCTTCTCCAGGTGCATACACGCTTATTATGACCCACTTTTCGCATCCAACCTTTACTTTAATCCACATAATTCTTGAATTTAAAACATTCATAAATTTTCTTTTCTCCTTCCATAACTGATCCTTTAACATTACTGCTACCCCTTCTTTTGCTCTAACTCTCTCAGATACTCCAGATTTAATCCCATTTATTTCCCCCCACCGAAACTCCCCTACCCCCTTCAGCTTTGTTTCGCTTAGGGCCAGGACATCCAACTTCTTTTCATTCATAACATCAGCAATCATGTTTCTGTCATCCGCACTACATCCACGCACATTCAAGCATCCAGTTTTATAAAGTTTTTCTTCTCTTTTTTAGTAAATGTCTACAGGAGAAGGGGTTACTAGCCCATTGCTCCCGGCAATGGGCTAGTAACATATATATATATGTATATATATATATATATATATATATATATATATATATATATAATATATATATATATATATATTGTGTGTGTGCTCACCTAATTGTGGTTGCAGGGGTCGAGACCCAGCTCCTGGCCCCGTGTGTGTGTGTGTGTGTGTGTGTGTGTGTGTGTGTGTGCTAAAACTGCATATTTCCTATTTCCCAGATAGTGTGTGACGCCCACAGGCTTAGCCTTTCTATTAAATATAATAATACTGTAATATTATTAATTCTCTAAAATAGTTAAAGGTGCCAGGAACAATCGGAACATATCTAGACTTTGAAAGGACATAAAATTATTAGGTGCCCACGCACATACTGAATGAAATTTGTAATTATCAAAAACATTCCAAATTATGTTTTGAATTTCTTACATTTAATAAGAGCACATAATGCGAGGAAATATACGAGTTTGACATTTAATGAAGCAAGAACTGTATTTCCATAAATTAACCCTAAGTAATAGAGCAGGCAAACCAGTCGTCTGTTAAGCTAATACGAATGTGTAATATTATGTGCAGAGTTTTTCTGCCTCACTAGTGAGCTGCTTATTGTAAGATGTGTTTCTTGTGAAGATACCGGCGTTGTGCACCTCTGTGCTCTCCCCTCCCTGCAAGAGGGAGAGGGGCGGTGCCGTTGTACTATGGAGATGGGCTCTTGATCCAAGATCAAACTTTCCATCGCCCAGGCGTTGTATGACCATAAGTGTGTGTAATGCTTTCCTGTGAGTCACACCTTGTTACCTCTGGGACCAGGTGGTCTAGTCTGAGACGCAGTTTTAATGACCCTCGGAATCGACTACAGGCAAATTATAAGTAAGATAATTCCCCAGTCTCTGTATGACCCCTACAGGTTTAGTTCTCCACCTAGTTGTGGTTGCAGGGGTCGAATAATGGCTCCTGGCCCCCGCCTCTTCACTCTGTGTGTGTGTGTGTGTGTGTGTGTGTGTGTGTGTGTGTGTTATAAACATGGAATAATGTGGCGTAAACTAAATTACAAAGTGAACTAGCACGTTGCCCCTCACCATTGAGGGTTCAAAAGAAGCGAAACTGGACCTGATATTAAGTTGTCAGTTCGTGACTGGCTGCAGCTGACTTCCTCTCTACCAAGATACTATAATAGTGTTACTGTGTCAGACAGGTATCATATTATTTATAATATACAATGCCGAGAAGTTGGTGAATAAGACATGCACAGAGCTTGGGTATCGTGATTGCTGAAACGCCTTGCTTGAACGGGTTCTTCAGTCGAGTACTAGCGAACACAATAGTGGAGACAGTAGTAATATTTTTGACGTGATCAGTCCGTCATCCTTGGTTGGAGGTGGCCTGTTCCTTCGGCCGCAGCCTCTGCCCTGAATCACTTATCACGCTCACCCCATTCAGGTTTAGGGTAACTTTTAATTTATTTAACCGCTCACGCTTCTCGGTGCAAAGTGAGATTTACCAGTCTCGTAAATGTAATATGTGGTGTCAAGATACCGTAGTGTGAAATTAGCAACTCTCGCAGAGAACTGCTTTTAATTACTTATATTCTATTTTGTTTTATTTTCAGTTCTGGGAGTTTTGAAGACAGTCACATAAGTTATAATTTGCTTTGCATTGTTGCTTTCTGTATACTGAATATTGAAATATATTTGTGTCTGTCTCTGTTTGCCTATATCTTTCGTATTTCCTTCCCCCTCACTCATTTTTATATGCCTATGATATCTACTTTTTAATCCATGGTATACTCGCGCCATCTTGTATTAGGAGATACATTCTAGAGGGAGTTCAGAGCCGTTGAGAGTAAATGTGAGTGTGGACCTTGTGGTAGGAGTGAATATGGTTCAAGGTAGCGTGGTGCAGGGCGGGCGCCTGCTGCCCCGTCTGGTCATCTCTAGTGCTGCTCCATTTGTCAGGGGCCACCCACTGAGCATAACATCTGTATCACTCTCACAACTCCCATGTTTAAAGATTTCTCTCTCTCCATCTTCCACTGCTGACTTTATACATGTCTCCTCCACCCTCCAGTGGGAGGTCGCTTGTCGTCTGTATAAAGTTTATGACTAGAAATATTTAGTGTTGAGTTACGCGGTTGGGACTCACCATTGCGCCCCCCGCCCCCACTAAACTCAATCCAGGTGTCCTTGGGTTTGTTGAAGCCTTGGCTAGGGCGGGAGGCGGGTGCTTCACTCGTCTTGTGGTGGGACTATCATCACCACCACTATCATTGGGCACCCACCTCCCCGCCCAGCCCACCTCACGCCCGCACCCGTAATATTTTGATTTTGGAATCGCCCCTGTTACCGTCCAGGAGAAAAACAAGTCCGTTTTGACTTCAAGTTATAGCGGACTTTGCGAGCCATCATCAAGTGCGCGTGTGTGTGCCTGGCCCCCACCTCCCTCAGTGCCTTGTGAAGTGCCACCTTATACTTGGGAAAAGTTACCCTTTCATACATCTCTACACCTGTGTTTCCATCCAGCCAAAATTTCAACTTGAGAAGGCTTATATAGTGTAAGATCAAGTTTAGTTACAAATTGAAAGGGAGAAAATTAGCGTGTGCCAGGAGTGCCTGAATTATAGCTCTCAGGGAGTGTAGGGGAGGGGATGAGTGGGTAAGGCTTCATCCTCCCACCACAACTACCACCATAACCACCACAACCATTGCGGTTCATCATGACAAGAGCTACAGTTATCCTTCTATTGGTGAGTGCTTCACTCTTTGATAATTTTTTTAAATTAAGTATATCAGCAGTGTGCTGCTCTCACTGTGTAACAGTGAGAACCAAAACTAGCTATTTCCTTTGTCATGTCATCACACAGGATCCGTTGGATACATGAAGCAATGAACTGTCAGCTTCAGGCTGGGTAACCTCGATAAGGTGATGGGGATATCATCAGGTATTCCAGCTACGGTAGCTTTAAATGCTTCCTTCTAGCATGACTGGCAGTATAACCTATGCCAAACAAATGAGCATATAATATATGCGGTATAATATATTTTTTTCAGAGGGGGGGGGGTGAACATTAGGAATAGCTTTAGAGAGTTTTATAATATGCATAACATATTTTTATAACTATTTACTGATCAATGTTCAGTAATTTGTAGAAAAATCTGTAACACATTTTCTAGGTTGTATTTCTATAAATATAAACAGATGGGAAGAAATTAGGATGTAGATGTGACTATTCATGCAGTCTATAGACAGACCGAGAGCCTAGCAGAAAGGGAAAGGGGTTGGAGTGGTTATGAAACCGGTTGAGATCTTGTCTCGAGTTTGAATCTCCTTGGGGGAGTTCAATGCTTATTTTTTCACTGTTCATACCTGTTTCCGTTCTTGCAGGAAAATGATTGCTAGACATCTGCTATTTCACAGTGTCTGGTAGTTACTCCAGAGCCATGAATGGACTGATTCATAGCAGTATATACCCAACCATTCCTGAAGTTCTGGGCCTTGCTGTGTTCTTTCATGCTTTTCGATATGTATCCTCGCTAAAAATCGTAAAAAAACATTATTGCAAGTAATTGAAGAAGGGGGTAAGGTTTAAACCCTGCCCCTCCTTGTTTGCGGATGATGTTAAAATAAAAAGAATGAAAATAACCCAGAGAACGGACAGGGTTCGAACCCATGACAAGCCAATCCTAAAACTAGCAGGCTAGTTCTCTCACCGCATGTCCATGCGGGCTTAACAAAATCCATCCACAGTTTTGGTGGACTTTTTTTTTCTCGCTCTTATGCTGTTCCCTGCTCTCAGGGACTTGACTTTATTCTATACTTTTCCATGCTTTTATGTTTCTAGATTCTGCCTCCTTACATTAATGTCTAAACAATGGGGTTCTTCCAGTGTCTTTTGTATATTCCTCACGGAATGACAAACTTTTCTGTAGCTTATATGCAAGCTTAGTTAAAAAATATATTGTTATTTCATGGGTATATTGTCCCTTGAATTCCTCTCCCTACTGAAAGTGAGCCAGAGAATACCTTTATGATCACCTTTCCTGTGCATCAGGATACCGATAAAGTTGTCAACATTATAGAAACATAAGAATGGAGGAACTGCAGCAGGCCTACTGGTCCATACAAGGTAAATCCTTATCAAAACCACCCACTCCCACCCACACTTTTGTCCAACTCTTTCCTGAAGCTATCCAAGAATTTGCTTCAGTACCTCAGGTACTAATCAAACCCATCCCTTTTCACTCATATATTTGTCCATTCTCTTTTTAAAGCTACCCAAGGTCTTGGCCTCTATTATTCTACTGGGCAGAGTGTTCCACGCATTGACAACTTATCCTACGCATTATTATGTAGTTAGCTATTTTTGTTTGATGTGAAAAATTTAGCTGGGATAAGCCAGTGAATGCTTAACCACTGAACGGATCATCACCTAAGTCCCGTGTCAAGTTCTCTTGTTTTCTTTAAGTTCGCTTCCGACAGATTGCTGAATGTGGGTACACGTTGATGATCTCTTGCCTCATGGGTATTTTATATTCTGTTACCTATGTTGACTTTTTGAAAGGGAACACATGGTTAAGCCTCGACGGTTCACTATTTCCTCTTAACCTCGTCGGTAAATCTGCCTCTCATTTTCGACGATAATAAGAGGCAATTTTTTTTTACTCAAAAAAGGATGGTACCGACAAGCGGTAAAAATATACTTAATGCAGTCTTTTAGTAGACCGTTTTACCCATGACTGGGGTTTATCAAATACGTAGCAACAGAGAAAAATGACAGCTCATATTGGGCACCCAGGGCCCAGTATTCATGCTGAGTAGCGCACTGGAAGAGGCCCACTGGCCCATGCTGGATTTGCTTCATGTTGTGTTTTGTGGGAGTCACCAGAGTGAACATACCAGGTTTGTACTGTTAGTTTGGTTAATCCTGTCGTTTTCTTGAAAAAGTAGCCTCACCGTCCCATGCCATGATGTGGGAGTGGGTGTTGTTGTTCACAGGATTTGTTGATGCTGTCTATTCTACGGACATGTGTTCTTGTAGGCATTTGGGAAGACTCCTAACAGTGTTAGGTAAGACACATATGCAACAGTTAGGTAGTAATAAAGTTGGTAGAATTACCGACAATATGTAAAGTAAAAGGACACAAGTGCAACTAATGTGACATTTATTGTGGCAACGTTTCGCTCTCCAGGAGCTTTATCAAGCTCCTGGAGAGCGAAACGTTGCCACAATAAATGTCACATTAGTTGCACTTGTGTCCTTTTACTTTATAACAGTTAGGTATCTTTATTTCGAAACGTTTCGCCTACACAGTAGGCTTCTTCAGTCGAGTACAGAAAAGTTGATAGAAGCAGAAGAGACTTGAAGACGATGTAATCAGTCCATCACCCTTAAAGTTTTGAGGTGGTCAGTCCCTCAGTCTGGAGAAGAGTATTGTTCCATAGTCTGAAACAATATGGAGTTGAAGTGACAGGATGGAGCCTTATATAGCGCCAGGAGGTGAGACGTAGGTCACTAGTAGAACGCAGATGTTGGGAGGTCAGGTCCCTCTCAAATCCAGCCGTTCTCACTAGTAGAGGTTGTCGAAGTTGATTTCAGGTCTGTACCAAAATACCCTTGTGTTGCAGTGTCTGACAGATTGAACATCCCAACATCTCCGTTCTACTAGTGACCTACGTCTCACCTCCTGGCGCTATATAAGGCTCCATCCTGTCACTTCAACTCCATATTGTTTCAGACTATGGAACAATGCTCTTCTCCAGACTGAGGGACTGACCACCTCAAAACTTTAAGGGTGATGGACTGATTACAATGTCTTCAAGTCTCTTCTGCTTCTATCAACTTTTCTGTACTCGACTGAAGAAGCCTACTGTGTAGGCGAAACGTTTCGAAATAAAGATACCTAACTGTTGCATATGTGTCTTACCTAACAATCTGTCGGTATTTTATACCATTTTAATGTTCACTCCTAACAGTGTCTCCAATGTGAACTTGGTCACACATCCACCATAGGATGCTGTAGACTCCTGCGTCTTTGGGTTCTGTATAAGACTGTATGTGAACGACAGTGAAGCATGATGCTTCAAGGGAAATTGGTATTATAGTGAATCATGGTGCTTCACCACTCGGACATCATGGCATGGAACAGAGAAGCTGCTTTTGCAAAAAAAAAAAAAGATAAGATTAAACGTAGGTATTTGGAGTCATCTACAATCAAACTAATACCATAAACAAGTGGCATGTTCGCTTTGGCGACTCCCACAGCACACACTATCAGAGGACAAAGGAAACTCAGGGTGAATCAGTAGGCCTCATGCGGTGTACTACTGAGCATATGTACACCTGACCATCCAATTTGGATGTTCTGTATATGCTGTCATCTTTCTCATTATTGTAGGTGAAACGTTGTACCAATATTGACATCGCTGCATTGTCTTTTTACCAACCTGCATTTTTCCTGTCTTATTCCTGCCTTGATCTTCTCTTTCTGGGAGATTAGCTGTATCTGACGGCAATAAATTTTGTGGGGTCTTCCGTAATAATTGAACTAGTTACGTACTCTGAGACCCCATTGTTGCTTGTAAATTACACACATATCATCAAGTCTTAACCAGTTATTTTTCTCCCTTCTTATACGATCTCCTTTAAAGAAGATTGTATCCTTGATCATACTAGTTATATGGGGTTCTCCGAGTATGATGCGATCCGTGATTTCTTCATTTACTCTTTAATTTAATCTGATTATATATATTACATTGATTGTAGTTCCCCACTGATCATTGTATTCCAGATTTTTGGGAGAGGAGGGTAGATTAACCTGTGGGGTTGTCATCGGGTGTGGTTGTGTTTTGCGGGAAGGGAGGGATAGGGATGAAGGTGCAGGGGTAGTAATGACGGGTGTCAAGATGAGCCTTGGGTATGTCTGTGAGTTTGCACTTCAGTGGTTTCCAATGCTTTAAGCGTTGAGATGGTACAAGAAGCTACACCATAGTGGTTGATGATGTAAGAGGTGTTGGGTGCTAGAATTGGTGGATGGGAGCAACAAAAAATAATTTAAAATGATTGCTAGTATATTAGCCAGCAGGCTAGTCAGCATAACTGATCTCTTAACTCGGCCCTTCCTCTATTTTCGTTTTTGTAAACTGGGATCACATTTGCAGCGTTTCAACTGTTCAGCGCTTGCCATGTGTCTGTTGAGTTGCAAATCACCATTATGAGGCTACTCTGTTTCCTCTTGCCCCTACCCAAGGTGATATTCTATTAGGTTCCATATCTTTCGTTGGATCTGATTTAATCAGTACTTTCACTTCTTTTGTCTTTCTTATTTTCTCTAGTCTTTGTTGCTTGCTATTACCTCCTTCTCTTGGCGTTTCCTTTCATTCCTTGAAGATTTCTTTGAATGTTCTGTTCTGCATATATATCCCTGCCATCCTTTGTCACCTCACCCACTTCTTCAGTCCCTGATTTATGTGTGTGTGTGTGTGTGAGTGAGAATACCTATTTTTTACGTTTATTTGTGGTTACATGAACAGAGCTATGCCTGTGGTGTCCCGTCATCAGTGTTTAGTTAACCAAAACTGTTTAGTTTCCAGAGGTTGTGGCACATACAGCCCCATCCAGGATCCCAGTTAATTTTTCTGTCATTCTGTTTACGAAGAAAAGCTTTGTAGTATCTTTTTAACATTGCATGTTCTCGGTTGACAACTGTGCTCTCTTGTTCTCTCAGTTTATGCTGCTAAGAGATCTTG